CTCAATAAAGATGCAGTAGTTGTTTTATCTTGTCTGTTGTAAGCAGGCACATATAGCTACAGTAGGATCAATGAGAGTAGAGTGTTGTTCTTTCCCAGCCTAAACTTTATTGATTGCTGCAGAAACCCTGCTACAACTTCATATCAAAAGTCTGTGTTTTTCCAACTCTCTTTCACCATCCTTCCAATGCCAATGCTGCTAAAAAAATTCCAGTGAGACAGAGGACAAGGAAGAAAAGGGAATGGAGTAAAAAGAGTTTGTAAAAAGAAGCTCCTTGGTCAGAGGCTTTGTACACTTTGGTATATCTGTAATTAATTAATAGTAATAATACTGTAAAGATGGGCTTGACAGTCTATCCTATACAGGCTTACCTGAATTCCTCAATATAGATACCTCCAGATCTCTTAGTACTACATTTTCCATCATTCATGAACATTAGACATGTGGACTGGGGATGCTGGGGTATTGTAACATTTGTAGCATAGGAGATTATTGCACATCTTATTTTGCCCGACCTGGGCACAGGCTGGGCACAAGCTTGAATGGGTGAAAACAGGTGTTATCGTACACTTTTCTGGCCAAATGGAAAATCCCATGCCTGGATCTGGCAAAATAAGATGTGTGATAATCTACATAGAAAGGAAACATTTGTTGCAGCTCACGCTTTGTTGTTTTCATACTATGCCTTCAAAGTCAATTTATGGCAACTCTGTCATATGGTTTTCTTGACAAGATTTATTCAGAAGAGGTTTGCCATTGGCCTCCTCTTAGGCTGAGAGAGTGTGATTCTCCCAAGGCAACCATCTGGATTTCAATGGCTAAAAGAGACCCTGGCTTCCATCTCCAATCCAGTTTTGTTGTGTGCCTTCAATTCTTTTCTGATTTATGGTGACCCTAAGGCAAACCTATCATAGGGTTTTCTGGGGCTGAGAGTGTGTAACTCACTCAAGGTCACCCAGTGGGCTCCAAGCAGTTAATCTAACCCTGGTCTCCAGAGTTGTAGTCCAACACTCAAACCACTACACCTCATTTTAATTCACATTTCTTATTTTTAATGGTACTATACAATCTGATTACAAGGAGTCTTTGTGTTTCTTATTGTCAGCAGTATTAGTGGCAATTTTCATGGTGTTTTCCTCCAGAGACAGGGCCTAACTACTAACCTCCCTTTCTAAACCTCTGTTTTGTTTCTGTATCACATCACAAATTCACTTGAAAGAAGGATCTCCTTAAGTACAACACTGGCATGGCAGTCTGGCAAAATCCATTAAGTGCAGACAATATGGCTGGTATGTAAACACTAGAACCCCCCTCTCCACAGTATTGGTAACACTTTGATTATAGGATGTGACATGCTCTTATTTGTCATGAAATAATAATAACAATAATAACAATAACAATAACAATAATAATAATAATAATAATAATAATAATAATAGTGTGGTGAGAGTGAGGAATGCTTGCATTTCAGAAAGACAGAAAAGGAAGGGTGCCATTGATCTGAAAAGTTGCTAGTCCAAACTAAAATAGACCACATTCAATCGATTGCTGAATGGTGACCTTGGGCAAGTCATGCTTCTCAGTCTCAGGGGAAGGCAATGGCAAACCTCCTCTGAACAAATCTTGCCAAGAAAACCCCATGAAAGGTTCACCTTAGGATCGCCATAAGTTGGAAATGACCTGAAAGTGCACAACAACAACAACAAAGTCAACACTTATGTAAACCCCATTGATTAAACAGGTCTCCTCTAGTTAGGACTGCCATTGGATTTAGGCCATTGGGCAAAAGCTCTTTTATAACCTACAGCTATTTGAATTACAACACTCTCCCATACAAACCTGCCCAATGTTTTGAGATCTTCTGGGGAGACCCTTCTCTCTGTCCCGCCACCCTCACAGGCACATTTGGTGGGAACATGGAAGGGCCTTCTCAATGGGTGCCCTCCGGCCAGAACTTGGCAGTGGGAAGGGGCCAAAATTACAATTGCCTAAGCTTCTTTGGGCCACAGATATGTTTTAATTAAATATTAATTACTTAATTAATTATTATTATTATTATTATTATTATTATTATTATTAATTCCGTCCTCCTCCTCTGCCTGGTCCTCTCCTCAGGAGAAAGCCAAGCAGTGGAGGACCCTTGCCCATCCTTCTCTCCTCCCTCTGGACTTCTCCTCAGGAGAAGGCCGACTGACAGAGGAGCCATGTGGAGCGAGTGTTTGCCTCCACTGTCCTCAGGGAGAAAGTTAAGCAGAGGAGCCTTGCAGGATGAGCATTTTCCCATCCTCCTTCTCCACTTGACCTTCTCTTCAGGAGAAAGCCAAGCAGCAGAGGAGCTTTGTAGGGCAAGTGTCCGCCCTTCTTCTTCCTCCTCCACATGGCCGTCTCCTCAGGAGAAGGCAGAATAGCAGAGGAGCCTTGAAGTTGTTCCACATCTTTGTGGGCCACCCCAAATCCTCCAGTGGGTTGCGTACGGCCCCCGGGCCGTATGTTGTGCAGGCCTGCCCCAGGCTATGAGACATCCTTCTCAGACTGGCACTCTTCTTATTTCCCCAAACAGATAAAAGCCTTCCAGCAGGCCTTTAAAAGATGATTTATCAGGAAAAACAGACTTTCTATAATGTGTGTACTTTATTTGTTGTTATTTTTGCTGATATAATTTGTTTTAGGAGCCAGTGTGGTGTAGTGGTTTAAGCATTGGACTGTGACTCTGGAGATAAGGGTTCGATTCCTCGCTCAGCCATAGAAACCTGACCTTGGGCTAGTCACACACTCTCAGCCCCCCAAAACCATGTGATACATTCACCTTAGGGTTGCCATAAGTCAGGAATGATTAAAAGGCACACAACAAGAACAACACATTTGTTTTGACTGGTTTCAAATTTTAAGAAGATTTAATTGCTTTTTAACTTTTGTATATTGTTAATTTTTAACAGCATTTGCTTTAACTGTTGTAAGCAGCCTCAAGTTGCAAAGTGGAAATAATGATAATGATAATAATGTTTCACAATTAGTTTCCTGAAATCAGATTTCCCCATAGAGAAGATATAACCTGAATGCAGTCGAATTATCCATTCAGGAAGACAATAGATTTTTAAATTCATACCAGGTTCTTCTTTCAGAACCAGCATAGTGTAGTGGTTTGAGTGTTGGACAACAACTATAGAGACTAGGGTTTGAATCCCTCCTTGGCTATGTAAACCCACTGGTTGACCTTGGACAAGTCACACTCTCTCAGTCTCAGAGGATGTCCATGGCAAACCATCTCTGAAGAAACTTGCCAAGAAAAACCTATGATAGGTTCACCTTAAAGTTGTCATACTTCAGAAATGAGTTGAAGGCACACACAACAACAACAACAACAACAGCATTTTGCTGCCTGAGGTAAAAGACAAGATGACACTCCACTGTTCAATCTCATCTACAGAGGTTGACCAGATTGGCAGATGAGCCTTATTTCAAAGGTGATGCAATAGTAACCCTCCCTTCACCCAAGGAAGCAAGACAGTTTAAGGACTGCAAAGAGCTGCTGCTGATCCCACCACATCATCTATGATCTGTCACTTAGGCAATAGTCTCCGCTAGCAGACATAATAGTAGACATAATAGTAGTAGTAAAATAGCAGGCAATCACAGAGTGAAAATCTCAGAGCCCAGGGCAAACAAAATATTACAACAGTCACACTCTCTACAAAGTAACAGCAGCTAATTGTTATTGTTGCATGCCTTCATGCCATTTCCGACTTATGAATACCCTAAGGTGAACCCATCAGGGGTTTTTCTTGTTCAGAGAAGGTTTACCATTGCCTTCCTCTGAGGCTGAGAGAGTGACTTGTCCAAGGCCACCCAGTGGGTTTCCATGGCTGAGCCAGGAATCAAACCTGGTCTCCAGAGTCATAATCCAACACTCAAACCACTATGCGATGCTGGCTTTGAAAAGCAGCTAAAATCTTCCCTGTTCATGGGTTATGATTTCCAGCAACTATGTTTTCTTCTCAAACAATGTCCTCTAATGGGTTTATGGGATCTTTGATTGGAAGTATTCCCTATTCTGGTAGTAGAAAATGGATATGGTAAATAAAACTGATTTTGAGTGGGGAAGAATGATCAGAGGAAAGATTCCATTTCCTAGCCATCACCTCTTTATACAGAGTATAAAATCTTTTCCATCTGGCTCAGTAGGGAGT